AAATTATTTCAATTTTTTCCATCATTACAAGAGAAAATACACTGTGAAGATTGTAATTACGATGAAACAAAGGTCCATACTACAATAAATGCTCATTTGCCTACTAGCAATTTAAATTTTATGTTGGACATTATAAAAAGTACGTATGAAGATAATACTACCGTTGAATGTCTTAACTGCGGCTCAATGATAACCAAATCAATAATTTCTGGCTATCATTTAATAATTGAACCAATTTTACCAATAACCTATTTGAAAAATCAAAAGGAAAATTTTGATGTTCGAGTAACACTAAATGAAATTCCTAAATCATTAAATATATTTAAAAAAATATACTATCTGAGAGGAATCATGAATTTTATATCCCCTTCAAATAAAACCAACATGGAAGCTATAGGACATTATGTTTCATTCAATTGGAGGGAAACAGAAAATATATGGGAAAGATATGATGACTTAATAACAACAGTACGTCATGTCAGGCATACATCAATTGTTAATAATTGTCAATTCATAGTTTATACTGTATAATAATGTATAATAATAATATCTAATTTTTATTTAATACTTTCATAAATTGTAATTTTTTTTTTAAATAAGTTTTATTAATTTATAAGTTGCCATTTGTATTATTTTGCTTATGTATATTTATAGTTTCCATAACATACTACACAAATTTATTAAAATATTATGTTCATTATTCAGTTTTTATATTCTTAAATTTTACCTTATACTTGTTTTTTTTAAAGTACCTGAAGTACGCAAAAGTATTTTTATTTTAACTAATTGTATTAATTCCTAAGTCAATTATCTATATATGTAGTTGTTTTTCAGTAAATTTTACATTTTTCAAATATACTTCATAACATGGTTAATTTCATACTTAATTCATTATTGATTTATTTTTTACAATCTTATATATTATCCTATATTAATTTAAAATATATTATAACAGGATAATAAAGAAATAATATAATCTATAGTGTATGAAAGTGTATTTTTTAAAAAATGTAATTTTTAGTTGTTGATATTTGCAACTAGTTAGTTAGTTAGTTTTTCCTATGAATATGTCAACACAATTATTAGCAATTCTCATAGTTTATTTAGTCATAATTGGAATTCATAAGAATTCAATCAATGATAATTTGATTATCCAACAAAACAAACATTTAATTTAGAATGAGAGGTCTAGAATGATTAATATTATTAGATTTATAATTTTTAAATCGAGAATACCATTGAATATGAGAAAATAAGTAATGCATAGTTGTGACTTTATGGAGATGTATAAATTTACCTTATAATAATTTAAAACATAATTTAATAAATTAATAAGAATCCTGGTTGGATATATTCGTTATCCTAACAGCCGTTTCACATGGACGCGTATCGTACGCGCGCGTTTCATACGTCGCGTTCAGAATTACGTTATTTATATTGACCGTTTTACACGCACGCGTATGAAACGTGGTGCGTATTAAACGCGTGCGTGCCGGTTATTACATGTAATGACAGGTTTCACATAGACGCGTATCGTACGCACGCTGATCAAATTTTGAAAAATGGTTTTCATATAACTTGTTTATAGTCTCCAGCAGTGCAGTTCTTCTCTTTTTCTTTTAGACTTTTAAGACTTTTAAGACTTTTTAGACCTTTTAATACCGTAAAAATAAATTGCTATTATATTAACTATGAATACAATGGACACTGAACTAATAATTATTGAGGTACAAAATCACCCTAATCTTTGGAACCACGCAATCGAGGAATACAAAGATCGTGATTTGAAAATTAAAGCTTGGGAGGAGGTGACAAAAAAAATAGTGTCAACATATGACATGTGAACCTAGCGTTAAGTGTTATTATAGGTGTTGTCTATACCGAAGTTAAACTTTAAATGACAAAATTTCCCCGGGGTCAGTTTGATACGCGTTTTGCGTATGGTACGCGTACATGTGAATACAACAGTGTCGCGTTTTGATACGCGTCGTATGCGCGTTTCATCAGCGCGCGTACGATACGCGTCCATGTGAACCTAGCGTAACACCACTAAATTTAATTTTCTGAATATTATAATATATAAAATACGGTAGCAAAATGTTTTTAGGGAGTTTACGTTAGTGTAATACGGTAGTAAAATGTTTTTAGGGGAATTTACAATATTTTAGGGGGATTTACATGTGCCCGAGAAATAATATGAAACAAAAAAGTAAGTGGTTAATGAAAATAGCAGTCCCCAACGGTTGAAATATGAAAGAGAAATCAGGGAAGAGCGATACAAATCGTTACGACAAAATGAAAAAAATAGTCATTTAAGTTTGGAAATATGTAAACTAAATTATGGTTCATTTTTCTATCAAGTTCGTCGTTTCAATTATAGAAGTAGGGCATATGTTATGATGGAGATATTGTATATTATACACTACCTCTACATAACCCAAGAAAATATCGAGATATAATTTTTATACAGGCATTTATATTTTCAGAAAAAGATTTTATATGACTTGCGATAAGTTTTCTTGAATTGATGGCCATTGGTTGTGAGGAAAAGTATACAACTTTCAAGGAAACGCGGTCAATGATTTTGGTGTGCTCCAAATAATGTCGAAAGCATAAGCATAAAATCTAAGTACCAATAATTGAAGTATGTAAATAGTTAAAGGGATTCGATATTGATATATATTGTCTTTGTCTTTCATACCAGCAACATAATAAAATCTAATCACTTTGGGCTATCATTACGGTTGATATATGGCAGAGATAAGAATTCTGAAAACGCATTTGAAGTATATTAAATATACTTTGATGGTTGCAAAAACGTCACGATTCACATATTTTATAAAATTGAAAGTTTAGTAATAATGTACACAAATCATGTGTTTCCATGCGTTGAGTGTAAAAACGCATGACTATATATACGTTTTTACTAATATCTCAATTTCATCAAATATGTGACTCGTGACTTTTTTGCAATCATTGAAGTATATTTAACATACTTCAAATGTGTTTTCAGAATCGTATCCCTTCAATACATCAACCGTAATAACGGACAAAAGTGAGTAGTTTTCACTAACTGAGTATTACTGAAAGACAAATACAGTACATGTCTGTATCTAATCTCCTTAAGAAGTAAAAATTTACCACGTAATAAATACTGTGTACCAATAAATGACCATTATTTAGAATCGAAAAGTGTTTTTTATCGATTATGAATTAATTAATTATTTAAAGTAAATATTGTTGAAATGTATATATTAAGATGCAATGAAATGTTGCTGTTAATTTATTTTTCCTCCTAGTTGCTTATATGGCATTTACTCTAGTAAAATCTAAACGTTTATAAATAATAAACCACAAATTCGATACACAATTTTTATATACAACGGTATTCTCATAAAAATTAAAATGTAGGACGCTAATTAAAACTATTAAAGATATGTATGATATTTCAAAAACCAAAAGATGAAAAATAATTGAAATATAAATAATACGCACACATTTCTCACAGCAGTGTCTTCAAATTTCTTATAATTGTAGAGGATTTCTTTGGTTAAATTTTATTTTTTATTTGTAGGTTTAATAAAATTATTTTTCGTAATCTTAGGTTATTATTACTCACTTATTGAGAAACTCATACAATTATTTTGTTATCCTCAGCGTATACAATAAATGAATGTGCTCTTGTTGTAATGATAATTTTTTGATTTAGGTAGCTGAATAGTCGCAATACGATGAAATAATATTACCACTCGTGACCGAAAATCAGTTCACGATTATTACTACAGTCGGGTGAATGAAAAGTGGCCGCTGGCAAATATGATAGCAACGATTTTTTTTGCTAAAAACAGGGGTTCTCATAATGAAAATCGAGGAGCGCGATCGGTATACATCTTCAAACCGGTTCACCGTGAACCACCTGTACGGGCGGTTTTGGTTTTATAGATCTTTTTTTTTCCCTATTTACCCTCGGTTATTGTAGTTTTATTATATGGTGGGGTCTCCTCCCTCCACACCATATACCACATAATATAATATAATGTATTATATATGATTATATATAAAAAAAAAAAATGTGTATTGTATACAGTATACACAACATTTGCTTCCCTGTTCTGATATTTGTCATTCGACAACGATTATTCCACGTGTTAACTGTTGTGTCGTGTTATATTAGACTTCAGAAAGTAAATTACATAATTTTTTTTATTAGTTATTACTTATTACTGTTTTCAGTTAAATATTTTTAAATAATTATGGCTAGTAAAAGTGGTAGTGATACTCGGAGGCAAACAAAAAAAGTGATTTTTAATGTTTATAAATTTATAAAAGACCTATCTAAACAAGACGTAATTCTTCCGTCGATGTTTGCACGGTCTCTCAAAGTCACTGCTGAAGCTTGTGGTTTATCTGAGAGAACTGTGAGACGCATATGCAAGGAAGGTAAAGATAGTGTAACATTCGAAGATGCGGTACAAGTACAAGGCCCTACGTTCAAGTCTCCGCGGAAAACATATAGACGTTCAAAACCATTAACCGAGTTAGACGATTTTGATGCTGACATTGTACGAAGAACGGTCCACGAATTTTATGACAGGGGTGAGTACTCGACAGCTTTCACAATTTAAACTGAAGTGAGGAAAAAGTGCGCTTGGGAAGGATCTGTGTGGTCGATGCGTTCGCTATTAAAAAATTTGAAATTTTCTTTTAAAAAGTGCAACGATGGTCGGAAATTCCTTATGGAAAGAAACGACATAGTTGCACTACGTTGTACTTTTTTAAGAAAAATTTGTACACTACGTGAACAAAAAGGCACCCGTCCTATCGTGTACTTGGATGAAACGAGTATTAACCAAAACCACAGCAGGCAAAATGATGAAGAGACCGCTGGATTAAAAGTTCCTACGGGCAAAGGAGGGCGTCTCATTATTTGTCACGCTGGATCTGCGAAGTATGGTTTTGTTAATGATTCAAAATTAATTTTTCGAGCAAATGTTGGCAACTTTGAAAGCGACTACCATACGTCTATGAATGCTGATGTATTTAGAAATTGGTTTATTTTAATGTTGAACCACCTCGAAGAGCCATCAGTCATCGTCATGGACAATGCGTCGTACCACTCAATGCTGATGGACAATTTTCCCAAAAGCAATAGCCGGAAAGCCTTTATTGAAGAATGGCTGAAAAATAAAAATGTTAATTTTTCACCACAAGAACGGCTGTCCGAATTACGTGAGCGAGTAAAAAAACTGGTTCCAACGTATAAACGGTACGAGCTGGACGAGATAGCACTTCAAATGGGTCACGAAGTCATAAGGTTACCTCCCTACCATTGTCAGTACAACCCTATTGAGTTGATTTGGGCACAGGTTAAAGCGGAGGTAGCCAAAAAGAACAATTCATTTAAGATGGCAGATGTCGAAAAATTGGCACACGCGGCTATTGATGCAGTAACACAAAACGACTGGGAAAAGTGTGTTGCACACGCTGAAAAAATTCAAAATGAAGACAACGAAAAAGAAATATTGAGGGATATCTCATTGGAGCCAATTATCATGAC